GCCACTTAGGCCCAAAACCAATTTCATTGATCCATATTAAATTTGGTCCAAGCCATTTGGTTTGGATTGCACCCAATTCATTTTTGAGTCAGAGAGAGTATTACATGAAGAAAGTTCGCCGTATTCACGAGTTTGTAGTGCTACTACTGGTGGATGTAGATCGTTGTATCCTGGAAGATAGACACCACTGAGTCTGTTAGCACCATAGCGGGGTGAATCTGTCTTAAGGATATAGTATTCAATACTAGTCTCGGTCCAGGTTCTTTATTTATTATTATTATTATGTAATTGCTTTAATTTGCATGTTTAATTAAATATCTAGTTGAATATTTAATTAATTATTTTAGCATATTATAAATATCTTATGGCATATTAGTATGGGGTTAATTATATCTTAAATATTATTTGAATGATATATTTTATCAACATTCTCACGATATAACAAAATTATCAAAAACTGTAATTAGTAATACTAAAAATTTATCCCAAACACGCCTATGTTTAGTTCCGACTCTAAAGAAGAATAAAGAAAAAAGATAGAATTATTTCATTGACAAAAAACTCACACACTTATTTGTCCTTACAAGAACTTTAACCCTCATTTTTTTACTTTGAGATACAGAAAAGATATGACTAAGCATGTTGCGGTTGCGACTTCAAATTTTTAATGGTTTATGACTTTTAAATTAATAAGTGTGGTCATTAGTTTTGAAAAGTCGATTTTAAAAAATTGTAACCATTAGACAATTTTTGACTCATTATATTTCAGCATAACAATGAATGATATGTTGTTCCTTTTCCGGTACTATAATTTAGGAGTTTGTAGAGTTCTATGTATGTGTATTATTTTTTATTTTTTCCTCTTATGAGGTATAATGATCTAATGGCATGTGCTAGACAAATGGAGGGCATTCCACTGTACACAGCCAGACAAATGGTGGCGTCCAACAATTATTGGTTGCAATCGAAAAATTGAACACCAACCAGTCAGTTCGTAATTTTTTTTCAAAGGTCCGATATCATTATACATCTCTATGAACCGATCAGTTCGACCGATTTATACTGATATTCGTCCAAATCCATTATATCACGATCACAAACAATATCGAAATTGCAAACCATGAATTCTAAACTCAATTCAATATGTGAAGTTTTGGTCTAAAACCCAATTTAAGATACATCCCGGGCTTCCAAATCACACGAGCTTAAATTAAAATAAAAAAAAAAATTATGATCAAACACTAAACAAATGAATACAAGAAGTCAAGATTTAAATGAGTAAGAAACTAGGATGAAGGTTGGCCACAAAATGACACTTTAATCCATACTCAATACCAACTGTCAAGGCCTGCTTTTTCATTAAGCCTTTGTATGAAACTTCCAATCTAGACCTAATCTCAAAGCATTTTCAAATGACAAAGGTTGCATGAAGCTTCCAATTTTTGACAAAACCACTTGGAATTTAAAAAGTGTCAAACTACCCCCTTGGAGAAAGAAAGTGACATGTTTTGGGTACAATAATGAACCATGATTTTATCTAATAGCAAAATTTAGGAAATAATAAAAGATGAAAGAGAAATATAAACGTACTAATATAATTGTAGTTGTCACTAACAAGAAGGATCATGAGTAAGCCGCCGTACGATGGAGAAAAGTCGTACTGAATATTGTGAAATTACATCCAAACCCCTCCTTTTTACTTGTGTACTCGAATCAAAAGAATTTGGAATTTTAAATAGAAAGTATTTGTGTAACTTTATTTAACTGCACTTCTTTTTAGCAAAACATAAGATTATAATTAGGATGATAACAGGACGGTTTGAGATGGGCATTCCTTTTCCAAATCTGTCCTACAAATAATAATATTTTTTCAAACTCAATTCGGGATGCCGCACATCAAAGTTGGGGCAAGTTCGGGATGCCTTGATATACAAATTTTTTTAAAAAAAATAATTCAAACTTGAATAAATTTAAAATAAATCTCGTAAATTTTTTAGAAAAGGTCAAATATTTAACAACCATAATAATAAAAATTTATTAAAATTTAAAATTATCATATGAAATAAAGGAAAAAGAAATGTTATAACTAATAAAAGAATATTTAATTATAGGGCAAATTACACAAATCACCCATGAGATTTCTATATTGTGCATGTAGATAGAAGTTACAGTAATATTACACAAAGGTCCATATTGACCGTTTGACCACAAAAAATTAATATAAATTTACACTTTTGACCTTAAAATTAAAGCATTTATTTTTAATATTTCCAATTTTTTTTTTGGTACTATACTTTCTACATATTAATGATCACAACGAAAATGATTTAAATTTGTTCGACTTTCGATTTTGGAACTCTTCTTATGGGTTTTAGTAGTTGAGTATGGATTAATCAATAATACCTTAAGGCATAGTCTTACAGCCATATTTGTTTCTTGTTCTGTTTGTTTGTTTGGACGTAAAATATTTTTTAAATTTTTTTATTTATTTTCAAGTAAAATATATATATATTTTTATTTTTTCAGTGTTTGGCAAAGGCATAGATCGAGATGAAGTCAAACCTATCATGTAGGCATATAAAATAACTTATACGGAAAATTTATGAGTTTTAAAAATATTAAAAATAAATGCTTTAATTTTTAGGTCAAAAGTGTAAATTTATATTGATTTTTTGTGGTCAAATGGTCAATATGGACCTTTGTGTAATATTGCTATAACTTCTATCTACATGAACAATATAGAAACCTCGTGGGTGATTTGTGTAATTTGTCCTTAATTGTATATTACTAATTATTAACTAGGTGTTCAGGGCTTTGTGGGTTTTAAACTCTCTTCCCAAACATGCCCCTAACCCGATTATGTTGATCCCAAACCCATTCCATTATGGCTGGACGGGACGGGATTTCGCGATGAGTTAAATTGACATCCCTAATTACAATTCTAATTAATTAATAAGGATAAAATGAAAAAATATATATGTTCTTTATAAATTCCAGCTTATTCTACACACACAAATGAGTCTTATTTCTTTTTCTTTTTCCAATTTCAAATCCCCAAAGACTCAAGAATTAAAACATGCAAGGTAAAAATTAGCAACTTAAACCAATAATTTTTTAGATGAGGAACCTACCCATTGCTTAAACAATTTGTAAATAGTTATAGGATTAATTTTTTTATTTTTATTTTTTTAATATTTTTTTTTCGCAAAGGAGGGGAGGAGGAAATCGAACACAGGCACGGGCATATGTGCTCGGGGAGTTGGTCGTTTTACCGACTAGGTCACTGTATAATGTCCAAAATAAATGATTTTCTAAAAACAAGAGAACCGAATTATAACCGAAACATCTGACAAATGCTGGATGCATTGAAGTTCTTCCAAAAACAGAGGACCGAATCATAACCTAAGCATCCACCAACCGCTTGAATGGCATCCATTAGTTGCTTTACTAATTTTTACTCATTTGTCAGTTATGATGGAATGGACTGCTTCAAATTTTAGCCTCAGACAGCTCTGTTGCTGTCCAAAGTTGCAGGAAATGCATACACCATTTTTATTCTCTTGTTGCTGTCATTTTTAGGCTTTATAAAAATGTTACAAGGATCGTATCGAAAGTATTTTTTAGGACTACAATAGTCCATGCATAGAAAGTTAAATTGCAATTGATACCTTGTTTTTATTATATCTTACAGTAATAATATATAATAATATAATATTAGTAACATAGTTGTAATATTACTATATATATATATATAAAAATAAAAATAATACTCCGTATTAGTAATGTAGGAAGGCGCAGAGACATGCACGCATCCAGCCTCTCGTACATATGGTTTTTGTAGGTCCCAATATTGTTAAGTGAGCCGGCCCCAAAACCTTACTAAAGAGTTGATTAATTAGGGTTAATGTGAATATATATGATTAAATTTCTTATGGTTCACATGCTTTGATAATAAACTTTTGGTTCTACTTTACTTGGTCTTAACCAAATGATCAATTTATGTAGGGGTTCGGGTTCACGTATACCTGATTTTTTTGGACCAAATTTGAGATGACTAGATGATTTCTTATAGAAGTCGGATCTTTTTATGTGCGGTTTCATTTATTGTGTTTATACGCTTGTGTTATAACTCATATCGTTTATACAACAAATTATGATTCGCAATTGCGCTATCGGTCGCAATCACGGTGTAACGAATTCAAGCGAATATTGATATAAATCGACCGGTTCATGAAGGTATGTAACGATATCAGACTCTTAAAAAAAAATTACGAACCAAACAATGCGTCGCTTATTGACTGATACGGCGAACCATACAATAAATATATTACATTGTGTTTTACAGTGTTTTACTTTATTATAAGACTATTACACCGTGACTCACAATCCCTTGGATCCGAATTCATTTTTCTATCATTGAATATTTCTATTCCTATTATTTAATGTTCCAATAAGCCACCCATTTTCATTACTTTACAAAATGGTTACATCAAATTGACACAGAGGTGACTCGTAAACTTTATCCACTTCTATGCACAAGCTTGAAAAATGTAAAGGGTAAAAAGGACTCGATGAAATATCAAGAGTTTGAGGCAATTTAGAAGTTAATTTAAGGTTTTTCCAAAAGTCATGGAAGTATAAAGTTACCACCTATGTCAAGAGATGGACAAGTATAACCCTCCAAAATTTCTGGAAGTAATTTAAAGGGTAATATGCACAGTATTTTGCAACCATTGCTCTATGCAATTTTTTTCTATATGCTATTCTTGTAGGAGACAGCATATCAAAAAAATTCTCTTCTTCCCACTTTTTCATAGTTAATTAGTATTTTAGAATGTCAAGAATTCATTGATTTTAACGAAGAACAAGAAGTACCCATTGTTGATTTTTCTATATAATGTGCAAGCAAAGGTAAATGGTTCTTTCAGAGCCTTGTTGAATATCTTTTCATTTTGGATAGAGATATAGAGAGAGAAAGGGAGAAGAGAGATTGAAAGGCTATGGCTCATAGTCTCTTGTCCAATGACTTGTGTTATAGCGAAAGAAGTGATGAGGTGAGTGGTCTTGATCTGAGTCTCTCAGCCATGGCTTGCTATCCAAACCCTTTTCTTCCCATTTTGGAAAACTCTGCGTCCACTTGGTTCCGGACATTTTCGGAAGAAAATAGGAACCATAAGAGGCTCAAAAGAACAATGAGTGTTGCTGAGTCAGTTGGAAGCAATGGTAGCCTCTACAGCAATGGAAGCACCAATAATAGCAGCTGCATTCTCCCGAAAAGCAGCAGCACTAGTAGCTTGAGTAGTTTGACTAGGCTGCAATTCCGGGACCATATATGGACTTACACACAGAGATACCTAGCAGCTGAGGCTGTCGAGGAGGCTGCAGCCGCGATAATTGGCTCCCAGGATGGTGATCAATTCGGGGAGGATGGATCACAGGATGGAATGAGGCTTGTTCAGCTTCTGATTTCGTGTGCTGAGGCAGTGGCTTGTCGTGACAAGTCACATGCCTCAGCTTTGTTGTCAGAGCTCCGGTCCAATGCTCTAGTGTTTGGCTCTTCTTTCCAGCGCGTGGCGTCCTGCTTTGTCCAGGGGCTGGCTGACCGGCTGTCTCTGGTTCAACCACTAGGGACTGTTGGTTTTGTCGCGCCCACCATGAACATAATGGACATTGCCTCGGAGAGGAAGGACGAGGCTTTACGCCTTGTGTACGAAATTTGCCCACATATCCAGTTCGGACACTTTGTGGCCAATGCTGCAGTATTGGAAGCCTTTGAGGGAGAGAGTTTTGTCCATGTGGTGGACTTGGGTATGACCCTTGGTTTGCCACATGGACAACAATGGCGCGGACTAATCCAGAGCCTGTCCAACCGTGCTGGCCAGCCACCACGCCGCCTCAGGATCACAGGGGTTGGCCTTTGTGTTGAAAAGTTCCAAACCATTGGCGACGAGCTTGAGGCTTTTGCAGAAGGATTGGGTATAAATTTGGAGTTTTCCATGGTGGAAAGTAACTTGGAAAACCTAAAACCCGAAGACATCAAAACGCTTGATGGCGAAGTGCTTGTAGTCAATAGCATTTTGCAGTTGCATTGCGTGGTGAAGGAAAGCCGTGGGGCTTTAAACTCGGTTCTGCAGATGATCCATGAGCTCTCTCCCAAGGTCCTAGTCCTCGTGGAGCAGGACTCGAGCCACAATGGACCTTTCTTTCTTGGGAGGTTCATGGAAGCACTCCACTATTATTCAGCAATTTTTGACTCCCTTGATGCAATGCTACCTAAGTATGACACAAGGCGTGCAAAGATGGAGCAGTTCTACTTTGCGGAGGAGATTAAGAACATTGTGAGCTGTGAGGGGCCGGCAAGGGTGGAAAGGCACGAGAGGGTGGACCAGTGGCGAAGGAGAATGAGCCGAGCTGGTTTCCAGCCTGCGCCAATTAAGATGGTGGCTCAGGCAAAGCAATGGCTGGGGAAGATCAAGATTTGTGATGGTTACACCATTGTGGAGGAGAAGGGTTGCTTGGTTCTTGGGTGGAAATCAAAGCCGATTGTCGCGGCTTCTTGCTGGAAATGCTGAATTTTAGCTGCCCAATTTGCAGTTCCAAGTGCCCAGAAAGGAGACTAGGATCAAGTTCTGCAATCAATAAAGCATTTTGGGGTTTCCATGGAACTGAAAATAAAGCATTATCTGCTACCACAATGCGAAGTTTGCTATACCCAAATTCAATTGAGTCCAGACTCTTGAATTTGGATGGAAAATAAAGAAACCGAGTTTGAATATTTGGTGTTTGGGAGGGTGAAGTTATGAAATAAAGTAGTATTGGTGGTTTAATGTGCATATAGACTGGTGGTATTCAATGTACATACTGCCATTTTTTTGTTCTCTAATTAATAACCAAAACTGACTCAATTTGTTCACAATTTTTAGGCCTAATTATCATGTGATAATCAATGTAATTGCTACAGAATTTTTAATGATCAACCATTAAAGAATGGCATGATTATGCTATTGGTAGGTTCTGCATTATATTAGTGGTAAATGTCTCTTTTTTATAATAACAAATGAGAAGTTAAGCCTTGCTTGGTTCAGTTTTCGGAAAACTGTTTTCAACTCCAACATAAGTAATTCTATATGGTGACAGTACATTGTGCATTAGATATTGAATTTGTTTGGAGAAACGGAGGAAAGATAGAGAAAAGAAACTCAAAGAAGTAAAGAGAAAATTAGAAGAAGATGTCCTAAAAATTCCTGAAAAATTCACTCCTCTCTTCTTTACTCTATTCTAAAGCAAAACAAACATGAGAAAATGAGAGATTTTAGAAATCTTTCCTTCTCTTCTCTCCTGTGCTTTCCTACCCTATCGCGACACAAAAATAGTATCTAATCGGACCGCTAGGAGAAGCAATGTTACAATGTTATCTAGGGGTTGTGGTGCTGAACTGCATCAGTGTGGTGACATGGAAGCAACATATATTTCACTATGTATATGCTGAATAATTTGGTATGTGGGAGGACTAAAAAATTACAGAATGTTAAGTGCCTAATTAAGGATTGGAATAAAACTGTCTTCAAACACTTAGATGTTCAACTTTCCGAGGCTAGGAGTAAGGTGAAATCAGTTCAAATGAAGTTACTGCAGAATCCAGAGGATGAAATGCTCTCATCAGATCAGAGAATGCGGCTAGAGCTGAATTAAGGCATGGTCTGAGAAATGAAGAGATAATTGCAGCCCAGAAATCAAGAATTCGGCGGTTAAAAAATAATGATCAATGTGGCTCAGCGTAGGGCTACCAATGCCGTTGCTGCTATTCAAATGAAGATGGGGGTGTGGTCCAATGATATGAACAAAATTAGGCAATGTTTTGTTGATTACTATCAAAGACTCTTCAATGAAGATCAAGACCAGAATGTTATTGATATTCCTGTTCTTACTAGGGTTAAGTTATCTCCTATTGAAGCTGGTATTCTCGAAGATCAGGTCTCAGATAGAGAGATTAAAAGCTGTGGTTGATCAGTTAAGCCTTGATAAGAGCTCGGGTCCTTATGGTTTCCCTCCTTGGTTCTTCCAGAAATTTTGGGGAATTGTGGAACAAGATGGCTGGCTCTCAGTTATTCTCAAATCTGTTAGGACTAATGGTATCTTGAGAATTTTAAACATGGAGAGGTCAGTTTCCCAGCCTTCCTATGGTTGACAGAGGGTTGAGACATAGAGATTGCAGTGGATTAATTGATAAAATTTCTGCGAAAATTAATGGTTGGGGTGCTGTGCTCTCAGTTTGTCTCTGGCTGGAAGGGTGCATCAAGTGGTCTCCGGTTGCTAGACCTAAAGGTCGAGGGGGGTTTTGGGGTGAGAAGGGTGGATGACCTGCCACAATCCATGTAGATATTGTTTGTTTTGCACACACTCCTCTTGGTACTCATGATTTTGCTCAAAACGCGTCTACATAGTTAAGGAGTGTTCACACGTATAAATCTCAACAACTTCTCTCACGTACGATGTGAGATGTCACGTGTTCCTAGAGCTCAGCATTCTAGATTCTGGAAATAAGTAATTGACATCAGAGAAATCATGGCAGATCACTTAAGAGTTCAAAATTGGTGATGGCTCCTCTATCAAAGTTGTTTGTTGACCCTTGGTGGAATGGAACCTCTTTGATTGAAACATTTGGTCACAAGTGGTCGTTTGATGAATCCAAAAAATGCTATTTGATTCAAACATTTGGTCACAGAGTGGTCAGAATGTTTGATGAATCCAAAAAATGCAGATGTCAGTTCTATCTTGATTAATGGAAGTTGGTCCAGACCATGAGACCAATGTACTTATCTGAAGATGCAGAACAGATTTGGACTCAAAAAACTAATACTAAAAAACATGCCCTAGTTCCTAGTCAACATTGCTGCCGATGGACAATTACCTATCATTGTCTTAGCTAATACCAAATTTTAGTTTCTTATTCTATTGAACCCTCTTTTTTCTTATTTTTCTGTTGGCATATTTTAGTATAATCATATCCAATTCAATTAGTTTAATGTAATGACTAATGGGAGCCTGAAATAAGGTGGCTGAGCATGTGCACAAGCTGAATGTTTTTGACTATTCCAAAACCTAACCGAACACGAGTTGCTTATGTTTGGCAGGATTTGAGTACTCAAAACCAACAAGTTTAGGAGAATAAACAAAAGAACAATACTTGTCTTGGCACCGGAGAATAATCTCCTAATTCACCACTGATGCTAGTACAATGATAGAATGACACTTTTCCATTTTGATTCAAATGTATATATAAAAACAAAATTCTTAATTTTTCTTCTCTTATATTTTGAACTCAAGGCCAGGACTGTCTGATTTGGAATCATGGTGTGCCCATGTTCAAGTCCCCCCGCCCAAAAAAATCAAGTAGAAGCATAATAATGGCGATAGTCTTCACTTGAACTGTTTGGCATATTTGGTGGAATAGAAATAAAGTATTGCATGATGGAATGCCAAAGAAGTTCATCATACTGCCAGAAGAATTATTTGTTACTGAAACATACCAAGGAAGATGAAAAATACAAATTACTGGTGCTAATCCATGTAATAAGGACTGAAACTTCATACATGCTCCATTATTAGTTCATTTTTTGTAGCACTAAGTCACAACCCAAGTCTGAAAATTTCAAGCAGTTGTATGGGATTAGAAACTAAGAGTTAAGAATCACCATTCATGGTTGAGACTGACTTGAGCAGAAACATAAGTGAGAAGCTCTTCATCACGCTCGAAAATGGGCATGTCTTGCTCATCCAGTGTCACCCAAGCTTCAATTCCATCTTTCTGTGGTGTATCCATCAAAACAACCATATTCTTAGAGTCCATACCAGCACTACTTACCCAAACAGGCTTCCCCCACCCAAAATCAGCTTCATAAGTAAACATATAAATGTCTTTATATTTTGAGAACACTTCACCTCCCTGTTTAAAAGACTTATAAAACAGTAATGATCCTTCTTCACCTTGCATCTTCATCACATAGTTCCCATCAAATTTCCTTATCTCATTTCTGATCTTCCCAACCAAATCATGCAGCTCTATCTCAGTACTCTCTGTTGTTGGTGCCACTGCCACTGCCACAGAACTTGCAAACCACACAAGATTCCCAGCAGACTGTTCTGGCAAGGGTGGAAACATCCTTGGTCGTAAATTCACAGCTTGTGATGCAAGACATGGACTAAAAGACATTGACTTTGCTCTCTGCACTTCCATGGTACACTTCCAAATTAGCGCTGATGTTACCTCAACACGGGTTGGATGATCCACACATGAATGCGTCGCCACTTTCGCCCTTAGCAAAGCTATGCTTGATGCATCAAACACAAATCTTTTGGTAATGCACTTGGATTTTTGGATGTAGGGGCTCTGTGATAACCCCATCAAATCTCTTGGCAGGAAGTGACATGCTCCCGGGAAAATGGGTGACACTGTTTCACCTAGCCCGCGAGACATAGCACCCCATCCATTGATGAATTGACCAATTGTGCTTCCAACAAAAATCTTGTGAGACATGCACACACCAATTGCCATTCCCCCACAGCTAAAGATATTGACTTGAGTGGCAAATTGGACTTTCATGTGTGATGTACTGCAATGATAGTCCTGAGGAAGAAAATGGTTCAGCACATCTACTTCAGGTTGTTTGAGAACTTCTGAGAGTGGACAATTGACTTTGGCTTCTAAAAAGTCAACTCCCTCATCGTTACACTCGATCAATAGGTCGTCTTTGATCCTTCCAGCTACTGGGTAGAATCGAGATAAGGTTTCAGAGAGGGATTTTTTAAATAGACTGATTCTGTCCACAATTTTGAACTCTCTCTCTGTTGGGGACATAGAAGAAAATGAGGGAGACATATAGTGGAGGACAGAGCTGATCTAGAAGGGAAAGCTTGAAGTTTTGGAGGGTTTGGGGAGTTGGGGAGGATGGTTTGATTGTCTCTGTGGATGTGATCTCAACCTTCACCATTTTTATTTTGCTCTCAAGATGGAACTTCTTCACACAAGCATCAATCTATATAATGTGTCCAATTAAGTGCATATATAACTCCCACAATGAGCAAATTTAAAGGTCTTTTATTGCACATTTAGCTAAGCATGCTATTAATAACATAATTGGGACATTCTGGTTCAGATCTCAAGTTTTGTTTATTGTATTAGAGCACAGACATGGCAGTACACAAACTTTACAGTCATGACATTGCTGTACCTGGTTGTGATGCCAATTAAGGCCTCAGCACATGACTCTTCAATGATATTCAACATAACTAACTCGTGTTTAATAGTTAAATACTATTACCCATACTTATAAACACAATAAACATTAAATTTTTTTCTAGGGTTTAGGGTTCATGCCTTTGCTAGTATAAAAAAAGTAACATCACCCACCCCCACTGGTTTGTGGATAATGTTTTAAAATGAAGTGTCACTAATTTGGTTCCTACAGGTTGCTTTCCATATTCCTCTTTTATACACAGGCCAAATTGGAGAGGACACAGAGGATTATTAGAGGGAGGACTTGACTGGGAGGAGCTTATATTGAAGAGAAAC